TTTAGTAAGAAAAAGACAGTCGAGTTCTGAAGTAACTGGATACGGATTTGGACATTTTTTTTTATTTTTTATTTTTAGAGACAGAGTCTCACTGTATCCCCCTGGGTAGAGTGCCGTAAAATCACAGCTCACAGCAACCTCCAACTCCTGGGCTTAGGAGATTCTCTTGCCTCAGCCTCCCAAGTAGCTGGACTACAGGTGCCTGCCACAATGCCTGGCTATTTTTTTGTTGCAGTTTGGCTGGGGCCGGGCTTGAACCTGCCACCCTCGGTATATGGGGCCGGCACCCTACCCCACTGAGCCATAGGCGCCGCCCTGGATTTGGAAAATTTTAACCTCATGCCTTACCTCCCATCATATACAAAAAATAAGTTGAAATGGATCATATACCTAAGCACATGGGCTGAAAGTACAGAATTTCTAGAAGAAAACACATAGTTGGAAATCTTTTTTAACACTAGGTTAACCAAACATCTCTTGGTATATGAAGCCATAAAAAAGAAAAATGGACAGATGCGCCTTCATCAAAATCATGAACATTTGCTCTTTGAAAGACTTGAGAAAATATAACTGCAATCCAGTGACCAAAAGAAACCACTGCAGAACATATATCTGATTAGGACTAACATCTAGATAATATGAAGAAATCTTATATCTCAGTAAGATAAACAATTCGATAAAAAGTGGCAAAAGAGTCAAAGAGGACTATCACCTGAGAAGGACAGATGACCGATAAGCCTGTGAAAAGCTGCTTACCATCTTCAATCATCAGAACAGCTATCAAGACAGAGACTGACCATAGCAGGTGGTGAGGGTATGGAGCAGACCTCAAGTCTCAAGACGGTTCTGGTCAATGTTTTAGCAATTGTGGAAAAGTCTGGCAGTTTTACAAATTAAACATACACTCAACGTATGTTCCAATGATCTCACACTTTGGAAGTGGATGTCCATATCCTTATTTATTTTTTATGTCTGCATGATTTATTAAGTTGTGAAAAAGGTATGGCGAAATATCACTATGTTTATAAAATTTATCTAAATAATTCCTTTAGTTCTATGAACTTTTATTTATTTATTTATTTGGCCAGGGCTGGGATTGAACCTGCCACCTCTGACATATGGGGCCAGTGCCCTACCCTTTTGAGCCACAGGTGCTGCCCTGATTTTTTTTTTTTTTAAATGTAGTTGGAAGCGAGATATCTAGAATTTCCCCTGGTAAAGAGAATGCCTTATACAATGAGTGCAGAACTGTATTTTGCCTTAAAGTCCATTTTGTTTGCTAATAATTTGGGGGCTTCAGCTTTATTCTGGTTCAAGTGGGGGCCAGCAGACGACGGTGGTGGGCCAAATTCTACCCAAAGCCCATATGTATACAAGTTGAATTTGAACACTGCCAAGTGTCAGCAGTAACTGTGTTCATGACACAAGCCCGAGCTGAACAGCAAAGCTGTTAACTATCTACTGTCTGGCCCTTTATAGAAACAGTTTGCTATCTTTTGGGTTACACTATGCATAGTAGATGCTTTTACCTTAGCCTTGCACCATCTTTATTTAGCCCTCTCTCTTATAAACAGCATAAAGTTGCATTAGTTTTTAAATCAGTCTTTCAACTTAGCTTGGGGCCTTGAAGCATTCAGTCCCTCTTTACATTCGAAAAATTACTGATATATTTATAATACTGGACCTCCTATCATGCCTCGTTTATGCCTTCTCCCCCTCCTCTCAAATCTTTCATTCTTTTGGATTGTTTTCCTCATGCTCCCCCTCCCTCCGTGGTTCGGTACCTTGCACATTCTATTTCTATGTTACCATCTTTAAAATTTAAACATCAAACTCTCCTTTGGGCTTATGTGCAATTATTGTTACTTTAAATATTTATCTACTAGATTAAGGAGAAAAATAAAGTATTTTATTTTACCTTCATTTATTCCTTTTCTAATGCTCTTCTCTTACTTAGATTCGTGTTTTTGCCATATCACGTATCTTCCCTCTGGAGAATTCTTTCAATTACATGCAAAGTAGGGCTAATGTTGACAAACGCCTTCAGCTTTTGTTTGAGAACATCTTTATTTCTACATTTGCGAAGGATCATTTTTCTGGATACACTATTCTACATAGGACTTTTTTTTTTTTTCAACACACACTATTTCACTCTTGTTGATGGGATTTCTAATGAGAAGTCTGACGTAAGTCCTATTATAACCTAGTTTTTCCCTCTGGCTTCTTTCAGGATTTCCTCCATATCTTTGGTTTTCTACAGATTAAGATTTCTTAAGTGTGGTAGTTGTTTTTTTTTTTTTGTTTGTTTTTTTTGTATTTATCTTGTTGACGTTCTCTGAGGCTCCTGACCAATGTTCTGTTCTATGTTATTAATTATGGAAACTTCTCAACTATTATTACTATTTTATGTCATTTATTCTGTTTCTCTTTGTCTTTTCCTTCTGGTATTACCTGCATGTTACACCTTTTCTAACTGTCCACAGAGGTCTTGGACCTTGGTCCCCCTTTTCACTCTTTTGTCCTCTTTGCATTTGAGTTTGGGCTGCTTCTGACCTATCTTCAATCTCACTGATTCTGTCTTTGGCTGTGCCCAGTCTACACATGAGGCCATCAACATTGCCTTGCATTCCATCATGGTATTTTTTAATTTCTGGTATTTCCTTTGAGTATTCCTTAGCACTCTTTTTTAGGGTTTCCACCTCTCTGCTTATGTTACCCATCTTTTCTTGCATACTGTTAACTTTTCCATTACAGCCTTTTTTTAACATATTAATTATTTTAAATTCCCATCTGATAATTCCAATATTTGTGAGGACTGCTCCTGATGCTTGTTTTGTCTCTTCAGACTGTGGTGTTCTTTTGAAAGCTGGACATGACGTATCAGAACTGCAGTAATTAGACTTTTAGCCTTCACGTTCCTCATTTCTCTTTTTTCTCCTCTGTTGTCTTTGGGTTTCCCTATGAACTCCTAAAGCAGCCTGGGCCTTTCAGCTGTCTCAGTTGTAATCCACTGCTGTTACACTGGAGCCTTTCTGGTAAGGTGTTGGGGCAGGTGATGTGTTTTTAGAATCTTTTTTTTAGTCTAGCATCACTAATGGAAGGTTATGGTACCAACTTCAGTAGTCTACCAGAAGTCTACATCTTAAGGTATGTATTTTCATCCTTGTGATTCTATTCTTTTTATAAAAAAGAACCTGTGATATGTATTAGTTTATTTTTTACTTATTATCTACAATGAAAAAAATAACATATAACTCAGTGAGTCCAGGTATGTATAAAATTTATATATATATATTTTTTACAAATAAGGTTGTTAGTATCTAGGCACTGAACTATAACTTGATGGTATCAATCAAAGTTCAGATTAGAACTTTATGTAATGGTTTACTCCAATAACATCAAGCTTACTTAACAAGTATATCGATACAGGTCATAGTAAACAAGTCTCTAGTAATGACCTTCATATGTATTTAACATTTTGTTATTGAGTTCTTTTGCTTTGACTGAAATATCATTAGCACTCCATATATCCACCAAACTAATTAACTTTTGCAGAACAAAGATAGTACAAAGGTATTAAGACTGATATATGCTTTGGAAATGGTTAAATAGATAAGAGTAATGTACAACATCTATAGCTTAAGTTATTCGATAACTATGAAACCAGTTACTGGATGAAAACTTTTTTAAAAACTTGAAAATTTACTTACTTATATATGAAAGTGGTATTCAGCCATTGACACAGTATTTCATAAACATTAAATTTGATAATTGGAGATGTAACTTTTAATGGAATGGCTTAAGGTTTATAATACCAACTGTTTCACAGGCTTTCTTTTTCTTAAGACTTAATTTTTTGTTAGATTACTTCTAAGTTCATAGCAAAATCTGGAGAAAGCACAGAGATTTTCCATACTCCTCTTGCCCCACACATGAACAGCCTCCCCATTATCAAAGTCTCCTGCCACAGAGATACATTTGTTAAACTTATGGACCAAGAATGACACATCATTCTCTCCCAAAGTCTGTAGTTCACATTCGGGTTAGTTCATGGCGCTGGAGACTGTATGGGTTTGGACAGATGTTATAACAACACATATCTGACCTTTACAGTGTCACACAGAGGATTTTCACTGCCCTCAAAACTTCCCTGTTCTACCTGTTCATCTCTCCCTCCCTCCCTCCTAACACTTGGAAACCACTGATCTTTTACCGTTTCCATAACTTTACCTTTTACAGAATGTTACATAGTTAGAATCACAGAGTATGTGGTTTTTTCAGATTCATTCTTTCACTAGGTAACATTCATTTAAGGTTCCTCCATGTCTTTACATGGCTTGATAGCTCATGTCTTTTTAGCACTGAGTAAGATTCCATCATCTGGATGTGCCACCGTTTGTCTATTCATCTCCTTAACTGACCGACATCTTTGTCTTTGCTATCTGAAAGTAATGGCATTAAAATTTACATACAAGCAGCTTTGCCTAAACTTTCAAGACTGTTTCATAAACTCTTACTGGCTATTTTTAAAGTACAGTGTATCTAACAGTCCAGTCCCAATGCTGCATCAGCCAATGCCTCCATAGTAATTAAGCACCCTAGGATGTTAACTTTTTCTCCCGTAATTTCTCAGACATGGCAGTATTCATTATATAACTAACATTTTTACCAAACGGAGAAATGAAATCACTGTAGTTGGCTTTCTTTCTCCATGTCTTATATAGTGGTATAACCAAAGGAAGGAGAAGAATGTGGACATAAATTCCGATCAGCAAAGATGCCCGTGTGGCTCATATGCCTCTGAGCCTGGTACCTCCATTTGTCTTATTAATCTTAGTGTCATTGACTCTTCCTTTCTAGGATTTTATATTTATGAAAATCATCTATTATTATAGACCGGGTTTAAGTCTTAGGACTAGGTTTATGAATAAACCTTTGTTTGGAGACTTTCATATTTCATGCTTTTGGCATAGTTAGAAGTAAATAGGTGTTCCACCAACCTGAAGAGAGGAGCAGTAAGGTTTTCATACAGAGATACTCTTCGTAAGATACCTGAAGCCTTTGTAACTCAGAGGAGACAAATAGCATATGTTTACATTGGTCATACATGCAGGGTAGAGTCATTCTCTGCCTGTGAAAGACAAATACCAGTGTTTAAGTTAGAAAGAGATAGTGCTAATTCCAAGAAAAGTCCTTTCTTGTTTGTATTATTTTGCAAAACTGTGAACTCATAAAGGAAAACGTAACTACTTCTAGTGATGCTAATTCCCTATAGGATCAGACTAGAGAACGTTCCTCATACTTGTTCCTGCATCTACAGTATCTAAAGAGACTAATGAAAGGTGTAATTTTATCCTGGAGGCATTATATCCTGTCATACATGCTCTGTACTGTTTGATTTACTTAAGTGTTTAGAATTTATTCTTACAGAATTTAATATCAGTTGTTCATTTAAACCAGAATTTATCATTTGAATGTAGTCAATTAGACAACATAGTTTTGGATCCTAACCACTTAAAAATGTATTTTTTTTTTACAACATTCCATCCTCAAGACAACCATCTATGACACTGTTCACAGTTACACAGAGGGCCAAGACTAGAACTTGACTCTAGACTTTTGATGCCCCAAATCTGCCTCTGACAGGCATTTGAATGAATATTCTTTTAACTAAAGATGCCAAATAAGTCCTTGATTATGGTTTTCAACAGCCACTACATGTACAATTTTCACATAGATCTCTAAAGTTTCCTGACTTTTGAAATGAAACTAAAAGCCTTACTGTCTAGTTCACTTTTTCTTAACATTCTGACAAAATGGTCAAGGACAAACTCCCATGGCTCTTAAGTCACTGAGACAGGGTCTCACTCTATTGCCTGGCTAGAGTGCAGTGGCCTCATCATAGCTCACGGCAACCTCAAACCCCTGGGGTCATGTGATTCTCAGTCTCTCTGGTAACTGGGAATATAGACACCAGCGACCAGGTCTGGTTAATTTTTAGTTATTTTTTTTATAAAAATGAAGAAAAAAACCTTAACCTAAAAAACCTTCATTTTTTTTTTATAGAAATGAACAAAAAGAAACCTAAACCTTCTTGCCATGTTGCCCAGGCTGGTCTCGAACTCCTGGCCGCAAGCCATCCTCCCACAGGCCTCCCAAAGGACTAGGAATATAGGTGTGGGCCACCAGGCCTGGCCCTTCAAATGTAAAACCTGCTCTTATAATGCAGCGCCTTCCCCCCAAAGCATTCATTTTCTTGGAGTTATCTTTTTCTCCTATAGTTCTCTTGTACATGGTTATATTCTTCACAGAACTAAAAATCTTGATAAAGTTACAGAGTAGTAAAAACTCATTCTTGTTAGCTGTAACAACAACAACAAAAAAGTGTTTTTCATAACATTCTGACCTTAAGGCAATCATGAGAAGCTGTTTCATGGCTACAGGGAGGGTCAGAACTTGAATGTACTTTCTGACTGTCTAGACCTACCTATCATAGACATCAGAGCAGTAAGGAAACCAGGGCGCTATGAAAAAAGAGGAGGCATCTGCCCACCTCGTACACAGCAACACAAGAACACAGGAATGGGAATGAGGCTGCCTCTTCATTGCCCACAAGCCACGGATCCTCTAGAGGAGCTGAGCACCGAGGCAGAAATAACCTTTAACAACGGGCTGAAATCTTTAAAAAACACTCCTGGTGAAAATGACACTAATGCAAACCTGTTGAGGAAAAAATGCCTGTAATTGTCACTTTATGTGAGGGATGCCTGTGTCACGATCAGCTTATTCTGTGACTGTTTAAAATCTAAATTTGAATGCCCTGATAATAAAAGCCCTGAGTTAGATTAGTTCATAAATAAGCATAAATTGGTGCTTCCTATAAATCTGTTCGTAGTTTTAATTCCAATTAAATGACTGCAACTTGCTTATCATGAAGTGACCATAAACGGTAAATACTGCCAATGTGATTTTCTCCTTTAAGAAAAATGGTTGGATTCTGAAATGCATTAACAATGTGTTGAGTTTCCATTGAAGCAAAATATATTTACTAGTTAATTAAAACCGGATCAAACAAGCTAATCTTGTTACATAGTGATGGAGTAGTTTGACCGTTCTCTTTTTGGCAGTAGTCAAGGTGGCGGCTTACTCTCTGGGACAGATCTCTGAGAGTCATGTCTGCGTGGAGGTACACTCCGGCAGAGCACGTGCAAGTGTGTCCGCCTTTAGGTCTCAGTGCAGACGACAGTTCTTCCAGGAAGCCCATTAGCCCAATATGAAACAGACTTCTCTGGCAGGAACCATCACACATGGTTGTCCATGGCCCCACTAACATGTCAGCAGCTAGAGGTCAGGAGCCCTGTCTGTCTTGTTCTCTGCTGCGGTCGTGTGCTAGACACATACTAAGAGCATGAAGAGTATTTGTTTTCCTCTCGAATCCATTCTGACTTCTTTTTGTTCCTAGAATGAAATCTAAATTCCACGTAATAGCTACACAATTCTGCTTACCTTGGCCCCTGTTCACCTCTCTATATCCTGGGGGCCTGCCCTCATCCCTCACATATGCCCACCTCTCTAAATTCACCAGATCCTGGGGGACTGCCCTCAGCTCCTCACGTAAGCCCACCTCTCTAAATTCACCGTATCCTGGGGGACTGCCCTCAGCCCTCACATACGTCCAACTTGTTCCGACTCTTCGTACTTGCCCCTTTTTCCTGGAACATCTTGCCCTTTCAGACAGCTTGTTCTTTTGAGCCATTTACTCCTCAGCTACGCAAAAGGCCTTCTGTGGTCTCAAAATCTAAAGCAGTGCACATGTCTACCCCACGGAGCTGGCCTAGTCACACAATTAGATCATGGCTCTATGAAATAATTTTGGTCATTTATTTGAGTTCCCCTATCAGAATGTTAGCACGGGCTTCATCTGTGTTGTTCAATATTGTACACCAAGCTCTTAAAATAGCACTTGGTTAGTACTCAACTATCACTGAATGAATACAGTGCTTGGAAATAGGTATCGGCAATGGAGAAATCACACTGAGTTTAACTGAGCAGTTCAGCAGGACTTTTGGACTAGTTCTTAATGCATAGCCTAGTAGAGGGGAAACCTGAAATCTGAGCTTTAGGTGGTTCTTGCTTACCCCGGCAGATATGAGGCCTTCGGATTACCAGCAGTACTATAAGGATATGTGTCCTGGAACTAGAGTCACTCTGCCACCTGTGGCTACTGCACACTGCCTAAGGAGCACTTTTAAAATATCTTGCACTAGTATCCAGTCCCTCATAAAACAGCATGGGAGCTTACTACATCGTAAGGCAGGCCGTCCTGTTTAACCTTCAGGTCAAACGGATGCTTTCTGTAATTCCTACCCAGTATTTTTGTACCTGGTACACCCAACAGAGAAGATGTTTGCTATATCTTCAGAGAATCTCTCTTTAATGAGAACTGGCCTCACTGCTCTCAAACCTCCTTTTTTCTTTCTCCAAACATCCCACGTTCATCACTCAGTGTTAACACCTTGCTACGCTGGACACATTTCAGGTTGTCACTGTTACTTTCAATGTGGCGCCCAGTTCTGAAAACTACTAATGGCGAATTTACTCATGTAGAATGCAGCGGGACTATTACTCAATTAATGTGGTTTAAGGTTTCATTAATTTTCTTGGAACCATTATCAACAGCTTCATTTGCGCACAGTTAAGGAAACTGCCATCACTTTTTTTTTTAATACAAACATAACTCTCCTCCATTTCATACTCTTTATACCTGTTAATAAAGGAAAAAGGCAGCAATACCGGGAAAGTGAGGAGGTCTCTGGACACGTGACCGAGAGGTTGTATCTGGGGATATGAACACCATTAGGAAATGGTGTGCCGCTGTGTTTGAAGAACAGATCAGCTTAGTGGGGAAGAAAAATGTGTGAGAGAGAACAACGGGAGGGAAGGTGAGGTCAGGTTCTGGAAACCCTGAAACCATGCAGAGTCCACACTGGCTGTTCAGTGAGATGATACTGAAGACCTCTGTGTGGGGGAGAGAGATGTGATGTGATCAGAATCGTGCTGAGGAAGAAAACATTAGCCAACACGGGCGAGGACTGCCATGAGGTTAAGTGGGAATGGACATCCGAAGTGTCTCACAGACAGAGGCACAGGCCTAGAGGATAAGAGAACAGCCGATTTATAAAATCTTAATCAGTACTTTCTCCATTGTTCCCATGTGCTTCCTAAGCTATAGACATTGAGTCTTGCCACGCAAAGAGATACTCCTGTCTCTCAGTCCACACCTGCCACCTGCTCGGCCCAGATGTCCTCATCCACCACTGTCCCTGCTGATCCTACGTGACTTTTTACCATGCTCCTTTTCCTTTTTGAAACTCGGTTACGCAATTAAAACAATATCATAGTAAGATTCCTTGTTTCTTGCATCAGACTTCACTAACCCCACTGTTTAAAAAAATATCCTTAAACATGTCCGGGGGCAGTGCAGTAATAACACCACATGTGTGTTGGCTCTGCATTAGACCTGGCCTGCCCCAAGCACTGGTAAACAACTCTATTTTAAGTCTGCCCAGTTCCTCGATACTGGTAGGATTGATTCTGTCCAGAATTATCACAATAGCAGTCCACTGGCAGCTGGTTAAAGATACCCTATGAACTCTGGGAAAGCGATTCGCACACAACTTACTCGTTGATAATCAGATCAGGAGCGAAGCAGAGCATGTTTGCGCTGGACTGTCGGTACGACCTCCACCCCAGGGCGAATGCCATGAGAAACATCCAGGAGTACTGCAGGAGGGTCATCTGGTCGTCCAGGTGCAAGTTCCTGAAACCTAGAGTTAGGAGGAAGGAGGGGTGAGGCAACGCTGACAGCCAAGAAGGGGAGCACCTCTCTGGGAACTGCCAGAACAATCAGATCAATTAGCCTTGTTTGGGGAGTCCCCTAAATACTAAGTGGATACAGTATTCCTTTGTTAGTCGACACCTTAGGACCCAAGCCCTCCTGTTTTTTAGTAGCATTCAATATAAGTAGCCAGTTTCTGGCACTTTTGCCTACGTAAGTAAACATGAACTAAACAGTAAAACAGAAAGCTGCAGAGTGTCGGCTTGGTGGTTACCAGAGGCTAGTGGGGGTGGGGAGGCGGAGAGGATGAAGAGGGCTTGGTTAATGAGTACCGAAATACAGTTAGATAAATGGAGTCAGTTCTAGTGTTTGATAGCACAATAGGGTGACTATTACTAACAATAATTTATTGTATAATTCGAAATAAGAAGATAAGATTTGGAATGTTCCCAACTCAAAGGAATGATAAATATTTGAGATGGTGGACATCTCAATTACCCTGCTTTGATTACTATACATTGTATGCTTGTATCAAAATGTACCCCATAAATGTACAACGATTACATATTCATAAAAAAAAGAAATAAAGGTGTCCTGGTTTGGTATGTTAACCAATAAATTTAAGTAAAAACTTGCCCTTTCTCCCCTTGATAATTAAGTCAAGGTTGAAACTAACACTGACTTCTACTGTTCCCTACCAGGTTCCAATAAGGAAATTTTAATTCTTACGATAATTTTAAATAAAAATTTACATTCAGTGTACAGCACTTCATTATAGAAGAGTTAAAATCATTCTACTCTAGTACATTTTGACGATACCTGATACTTACCAATTTTATAAACAACCAGCTTTTTTTTTTTTTTTTGCAGTTTTTGGCCAGGGCTGGGCTTGAACCCACCACCTCTGGCATATGGAGCCGGTGCCCTGACCTTGAGCCATAGGCGCCACCCAACAACCAGCTTTTTTAAAGTAACATACTAGGAAGGAAAACTAATGGCGTCAGGTACACCATACACTTTCTTCTCCTGGACTTCAGTGTAGAAGGAGTTTTGAGTAAGTCTGGTGACTCCAGTTCTGACACTGCGTCATCCTCTCTGAAATCACTCTGCTGTGGGTAATGACCCGAAAAGCAGGGAGCAGTGTCTAAGTTTTATCATGGACTCCCCATGGGCCCATATCACCTGACTTTCCTCTTAATCCCCAGAAATGAGTGAGAGAAACAAATACAAAGTGTCTCTGTTCAAGAGCACACCAAGGTCTGGGCGGCAGCTCCGTCGTCCTCGGCACCTCACCTGGTATTGCCTTTGCCCACTTCACTGCTGCGATGACTTGCCGCCCTCCTAACATGTTCAGTGTGGTCATGATCCTCCAAGTTGAGTCTGGAACGGAGCTGTCGTATCCTGCATATAACACCTCAGGTTCAATGACCTCCAACAGGGACACCAGGGTCGGGGTGAGCTGTAACGTTGCAGGAACTACTGTTTTGTTAGCAGGACTTTCAGAAGTTTCTGGAGAGACTCCAGTTGTAGCTTGTTGAATTCCCTTTATTTTTTTCTTTGTTTTTCGAGCTGTAGGCATTAAAAATGCATAGAAAAAATTTTAATGTGAAGGGCTGGACTACACAGTTTATTCGAGAGGTTTTTTTAACTTACTGAAACTGTGAAGACAGAGGAAACGTATTGACATGAAAGAAGAGAAAAAACATGTTTTTTTCCTGATAGCAAGACTCACAGAAATCTATTCCAACATTAATTTTCTCTATAAGTAAGCCAGTAACTTCTTCCTTATAGTTATACCTTATACAAAATAACTTTCTTATAACACTATGTTAAAACAACCTGAATAAATCACTTCTGTAGATACTTCTACAAATCATTTTCTGTCTCATTTTCACTCTACCCGTGAAAATTCCACTGGTTATGTCAGGCAAATTACTCTGACCATCTAATTGACAGAATTTAAGCTTGTAATAGCAGATTAGAAACCGTGGTTTAGGATCTAAATTGCGGCAGTAGTGAAGACAGCTACACTACTTGTACACTTGTACAAAGCCACCTTTGGGAAGATGATACAGCAGGTTACATGCTAAAAACAGCATTAGGTCTAACAGCAGAAAAATCCACTTTGTACTTTTACAGGAGAGATACTGCTTGGGACTAAAAACACGTGGGAGATGAAAAGAAAAACTTGACATTACTTCATATAAATTATGAGCGGGAAATGTATCTTTCACAAAGATTTATACTGATGACTCTATAAACTGAAAACACCCATCTTAACATTACATACAAGTAAATAAAGTTATCTTTTACCTCTGACTTTGCATGGAACAGTCCAAATGACAACATGTACACTTTTTAGTAAACTTATTCATACTCCTGAAGTTATTTTAGTGACTAAATAAGAATTACATTATTCTTTTACAGAGAAAGTACTCAGAACTTTTAAGACAGGGTATATAAAAGATGAAATGCACCTGCCTCAGTTATTAGGGCCACAAACCCTGTTGCGGGGGCAGGGGAATCTAAATGCAAATCACTTTTAAAAATAATTATTAGATCCTGCATCCCTCAAACAACATTGTACATAGTTTGCGGAGGACAGACACCGTAGTGAGAACTATGTTACAATGTCAGAAAGAGAAAAAAGCCTGTCGTTTACTCGGAATAGAATGGTTCCATTCTCATTGTGTTCTGTGCTGAATGGGGTATTGAGAAACTTAGGAATTTTTAGTTAACATTTCCAAACAAACAGAATCACAGCAGACCTATTCTAACTTAGTTCACCATCCTCTCGTGGAGGCGCAGTATGATACCGTAGTAAAGAGAGCGAATCAGAAACCTGTATGTTTAGATTAAAATCCTGGTTCTGCCGTTTTGCAGCTAAGTGTCTATGGAATTACTCCCTGGGCCTTAGTTTCCTCTTCTGTACATGAGGATAATATTAGGCCCTGCTTCATAGGGTTATTGGGAGAATTAAATCTCTTAAATATGTAAAATGTTTGCAACAGTGCCTGGCACGCAGTAAGTACCATATAAGAACTACCGTCACCCGCAACTTGTAGGATATATTTTTAGACTATTTTAAATACAAACAGTAAAACTCTACAGGGGAGCAGTAAGATTTTTAAAAGGAAGAGCTCCTATGGGTAAAGAAACATATTACTAAAACTATCTCACTGAAACCCAGATCCAGAATCATGGGATGTATTTTGTTGAGAACCTAAAGGAAAACACGCTTGCCCCAGATCCGTGCGCTGAACTGGAACCGGGCAGACCTCAGTTAACCGCAGAGTTAAATGATCTGGAATGCAAGTTTCCCACTCCACCCCAGGGCAGAGAAGAACGCACAGGGACAAACTGCAGAGCCTTTAAAAATCATTTTCTCTAACTCAGTTTGTGATCAAATTTCTTACTATTAAGCTGTAGTCCTAAGGGAGAGAACTGATGCTTATGAATAAAGCTTAAAAAGTGCTAGTAACCTAGTCATGTAGTACTGGCTAGAGCAAGAAATAGCATCAATAAGTTTTCAAAATTATCATCAGCAAGGGGTAGTTAATCTAGGTAAGCAACCATTTATTTTTATAAAGAAATCTTTACCTCTTTAAGTTTAAAATTTAATTTAAATAATATTAGGTAAGGAACCTGATAATGCCATAAGCCTACTTGCCTATAAGTTCCATCTGATTGTTTATACTAAAAATAACGTTATGCTTTGGAATAATGACAGTATATTTTAAAATGAAATGAATAGAAAACATTTAGGATCACCATTACAAAAAAACACATCTGTTCTTAAATGCCAGGTACTTTAAGTGAAGAAGACTGCCTTAAATAAACAAGATGTACTGGGTATGGGGCAACAGTATCCAAATATACCACTCACAGTGCTAAGTTACAGGTTATGAAGAGTCCTGGGCTCTGAGACGGCTAATTGCTCGCCTGTGCAGTTTCCGGGGCTATCATCACAACTGCTTGGCTGAGGGGAAGTGTTCTGATGGACTAGGAGATATTTCTAAAGATCAGGTGTGAAACACGTGGCTCATCGACATCATTCTTAAGTATGATGGTCTGCCCAATATTTGCGGCACACACAAATACCTACTTCGAATAAAGGTTTTACATATGTCGGGATTAATCCAAAACAAAAATGATGCTTTCATGCTAAAACCACACCCCTACCCCAGGAACTAGATTTTTCTTAAGTGTTTATTTCCATGTGTCTATAAGTAGAATTAGATTATCAACTGCTTGATATGTGCCACCCACCATCTAGTACATCAGGAAATGACAAACTGGAACTCTGTTCTACTGTAGTTTATAAAAGTGAATATAAAGTTAATCATGGACCTAACTGCAACAAAAACAATTAGCTGGGTGTTGTGCTGGGCACCTGTAGTCCCAGCTACTTGAGAGGCTGAGGCAAGAGAATTGCTTAAGCCCAGGAGTTTGAGGTTGCTGTGAGCTGTGACTCCAGAGCACTCTACCCAGGGCAACAGCTTGAGACTCTTTCTCAAAAAAAGACATGATAAATCCAGGCTGATCCCCACTGTTCTGGTGTCTTAGACTGACAGCTTATGAAAGCATACTTTTGGCTGCATTTTTTTATACAACATTTTAAGAAATGGCATCTCAAATTAAATCAAAAGCTTAAATTTTATGTGTGAGTCTGACAAACTTTCAACAAAAGACCCAACTGGAAGTGGCAGGGATGATACACTTGACAACAGAGAGAAAATCAGATGTCAGTCACTGCCCTGGTCATCTGCTAGTCATTGTCATTAAACTGTGTGTGAGAAGAAGGAGAAAAAGGACAAACTTAGTAACTAGTCCACCACAATCAGTACTTTATAGTGGATATGTCTTATTTCTTTTGACTAAAGAATTCCCTTATACTTTAGATATTGGGGGGGGGGTTGTCCAGAGGGGCATTCTACGCATAAAGCTCTAAAGATCTTAAACTTTGTATTTGAGAAAGCATCTCGCACCTAAAAATGTCACTGGGTAAGCAACCGTACTACATTAGAGACGTGACAAAATTTTATTTGGGTTTGTCTTTGGAGCTTTATTCAAATCCTAAATATATTCAAATTCTAAATATAAAAAATAGCTGAGGTGAAAACATGAGGATTAGAGAAAACTAGTAAAATTGGAGCTGAATAGCCCATTTCTGCTCAAAACAGAAAAAATTACACAGGTATGATGGCCTGTGCCTACAGTCCCAGTTATTTGGGAGGTTAAGGCAGGTGGATCACTTAGGCCCAGGAGTTTGAGGTTGCAGAGAGTTATGACGCTGGCTCTCTATTCTGCCCAGGGTGAAAGTGCAAGACCCTGTCTCAAAAAAGGGGGAGAGGGTACTAGAGAAAATAAATAAAATAGTCACTAAAACTTCATGTGTTTTAATATACATTTAAATGGTCAAAATATATTACTTAGGAGATCAGAGAGCAGCAAAATGAAACTCGGTAAAATCCAGGCAGAGATTTGATATGTCATAAAGTGGGGAAGGCTATGTTGTTTTTATAACAAAAAATAACTACCTTTGTGACACTGAAAGCAAATTTCTATGTGTATTTGTAATTGATCTGTAGCTTTGATAACACCTAAAAGAAAGTGGACAGCTGTCATTTTATTTAAATTGCTGTTTAACACATTAGCACTCTGTAATTAAGTCTAAATAGCCTGGTCAGACTTACATACAGCTGTTTGTGTGGTCCGGAGAATTATACTCTTCATAGGCACACCCCAAAATCTACCGTAACCACACAACACACACACACACACACACACACACACACACGGTGTGTGCCAGACAGCACCACCAATTCCTATCTCTATCACGAGAACCACATGGAGAACCTCCATTCTCTCTCCGTATCACCGTCTCTCATCTGGAATACTGCTATACTCATTACGTCGTTTCTCTAAATAAGATTAGCCTTTTTAAAGCACAAATCTGATCATACCTCTGTCCTTATTTTTTATTTAATTCTGAGTAGCTCCTAGATTTAAAATTTAAGTGACTTCTTCCCTGACTTCCAGGACAGAATGAGGTTCCCTTCCGCTGGCTCCAGTGCCTCTGTTGCCTTACGGTGCACCAGGCTATTCTGTGATTGACTCTGCAACCTAACTGGACAGAACGGTCCTTAAGCACAGTCACGATTTCACTCCTTTTCTGTCCACTGACGGGCTTTGTGGCGCACACTTGCCGAATACAAGTCCATCACAACAAATAAGAGGAGCATGGATTATTAGATCACCCTCGAACACCCACCTTGCAATTTCAGCTAGAACAGAACTCCACACGTTTTTCCAGAGGACAGTTTTTACACGATGAGATCAATGTTAATTATACCATTTGTTATGTGAACAAGGACATGAAACTCTAACTTCTAACTAGTTTTAGATTTCTTCTTCACTTGATAAACAAACCCCCTCCAATGCCTCTCTGAGTCCCCCCTCCCCCCCGCAGATCTGTAATAACATACATGTCCAAGTAAAAGGTGTTCTAAAAGGTAAAAGACAGAAAAATAGACATGTAAATTTATGAGATACAGAAATAATTTCAACCCTAGTCAATAGTTTTGAGGCTGGAAAAAGGAATCAGAAAGAAAAAGTTGCCTCACGTTGCACAAGTGTCATGGTTACACAATTTCCCTTTTTAGTATACGGTCTGGCTGTGCTGAGTTCTCTGCATAAGGAGGACTGGTAAATAAGTAGAATATGACATCTTCATGAAAAATACTCCTATTTTTGTCAGGTAGTATTATAAAATTATGCTAGTTAAGCACTATATATGCTGAATTGACTAATTATGTCTTCAAAAGTAAAATGTTCCATATTTATGGGATACAGAGACAAATAATTGCTTTTAGGCATTGACGTTACCTTCCAGGTTCATTCCAGCTTGAAGACATTTTCTATAGCGGCATGCTGGGCAGTTTTTTCTTCGAATTTTATCAATGATGCAATCATTTCTTCCAGCACAGAGATAATTGTGCTGTCCTATGTGGAATAAATGGAATTGTTAAAATTTCCCAAGTCGTTAAGAGTTATTTTCTATGGAGAGGCTCTATTTTTGTTTCAGAAGGAACACAGGCTAAGGCCCACACAGGGACTGAGGGAGGCATTCTTGGCTACCCTGACTTGATGGAGCTAAGAGGTCAACTATAACAAACAGAAAAATATTTGTTTTTCTGTTCAACGAATTGAAAAAAGTTCATTAAAAAAACTTTACTGTAGTATCCATATACAAAAGCACACAACTTGTAAAAGTGTACCACTTAGTTAAGTTCTCATAAGTCACACACTCCTTTATGTTATCAACTCTCAGATCAAGAAACAGAAAAGTACCCCGCAAACTTCACAACTCCAGTCACTACCCACCAAGGGTAACTACTTTTTTCATAAATTGTAATTCAAGGTTCTTTAAAAGTTGCAGAAGATTATCTGCAATCATTATTTTATTACGACCTTATGAACACGTTCAAACCAGTTTCTTCTTTCTTTTGACCCAATGCTAACGAGGGCTAAAGAAAGAGGAAACTAGTTGGAAACTATTGTGGGAATCCCAAAGAGAAAATGATTTTAACTCAACATGACACCCCCATGGGCAAATAAAAGGTGACCCTCCTTGGGGCTTTAAACGAAATGATAGGTAAAGAGCAACATGTAATCTTGAATTGTAAGGTCACCAGCAACTGGCTAGGTGAATCACAGACGTGGCAAACTATATTACTATATGTAGATCTTACAGAGATCATGATTTGACACTTGTTTAGAAAATAAAGATGTTTGAGTTCAACTTTGACCTCAAGTAATAATTTAAAGACTGTTACTGTCTGAAATCTTCTGGCACCCAGAGTTAAACAGTGTTTTAAGAAGTAGAACTGGAATTCTCTCATGGCAAAAAATTTTAAAGAAAATTTAAAAGTCTCCCCACATCCCACTGGCACATTCTTGAAATGTTCTTTTAACTTAGTTATTGAATGTTGAAGAAAATTATCTAAGCACCTGCTGGCCTAGCAAAAACTGGAAGAAGTCACTTACACAGGACCAGACTGTCTCCATAGATACATGAGATCACTAAGGGTCCGTCCTTACACTAGAGGGGATGGTCTTTGAAAGACTCTATGGGATATTTCTCTAGAATAAATTATCTTTGAAGAAAAGAGAAAGAGGAAAATCGTAACTATCAATTTGCTAGGTTGAATGTATCTACCAGTTCTGGTTTCTAGGAAAAGCTCCTTTATGCCTAGGACAACCTAGGACTTGACTTGGATGAAAACAAAGCTGCATTTACTTCTTCTAATATAAATAACAATGCTCTTTAAATACTAGTTTTGGGGAGGTGGTTAACTGTATCAAGTTCAATTCCTTGCCTGTGGAGCACAGGCCACCAGTGGACTAAAGGACTACAATTTAGCTTTGTTCCAGAGCTGCTCTTCCAGGCCAGATGTTTGAGCCAGCTATATCCACTCCTTTCTACGTTCTGAGAGTGTCCTAGCTTCTTCACTTGGATATGAAATGGAAGCACTAACCCAATAATTCTATCCTTTATAAATCAAAAGTAGAAAGAACAGATGCATCCATTGCTGAAGCAGTTACAATACCAAAAAGTTTTACCCCGTAAGAATATTCCTAAATCACTGACTTGTAGTTATTGGAAGTAACAATAGAAAAAAATTCCAATGTTTTATTTATATACAATTGAAATAGCAGAATGTATATATTATGCTAATATTGATTTCTTTTTGTCTCTGTCTTGAGTATAAGATCAATAGATTCTAAGCTATTGATCAGAGGCATTGTACCTTCATAAATGAAAATTAGTCCTATATGGTTATTAGCATGAAGTTGGGCAAGACCTATGTGCTCCTTAACTATGAAACGAGGAGTTTTAATTTGTCTTCCCTGTTTCCCAACACATGGTCATGTACTACGAGCAGTCATTTCGGCATGATTAGGAGGCATCTTATTTTGGAGTTCCTACGCCTTCTATCATTTGGTATATTCCCTAATGAACAAAGAGTTGTCAGATAAAGAACCTTTAGGTTAGCTGAAATATCTTAACATTGTTTAGTTTACATAGTATTTATTTTTGTGGTGAAAATCTCTTTTGGGGAAATGATTCAGGTTTTCTCTTTATGGCAGGCCTGGTGGCCAGCCTGCATGACAGCCCCCAGTGGTCCCTGCCTCCTCGTGGTCACACTCTCAGGTAGTCCCTCTGTGTACTAGACCAGGATGGGTCTGCATGAAAAATAAACCAGGACAGAAATGATGGCGTGTCACATCTGCAATGAGGTTATCAAAGACATTACTGGTAATGCACTGGTCACTCCCACTCTAACTAAGCCACTTCCCGATTCCCAACTCTCAGAAAATGTGCGACATAGCACGTTTGTTGCTTTAAGCTCCAAACTTTGGGACTTAATTGTGCAGCAACAGATTACTAATACAGTAGGAATAGTAAAGTTTTTCCTAAAAGTGAGTTTAAGTTTTTAAAAAAAAGGTCAGCCAAGAAAAATACTAAGCAGTGACTAGAGCAGTGATGCATGGGTATGAGCAGACTGAGTGGCACAGGGAGTGGAGCAGTGAGGTCGGGGTCTTATCTGCATGGGTACGAGCAGACCAAGGGTGCAGGACGTGGGTGTCAGTGTAGCACTGAGGTTGGGGTCTTGTCTGCAGACAGCAGTCTACCCTTTAATGTCTCTGAGCCACAGTTTCCTACTCATCAAGTATAGATCATCATAGCATCTAGGAGCTCCCAGAGCCATTAATTAAATGGTATAACATACATACATATATATATAAAACACAGTACTTGGCACATTGTAAATTAAGGGTGCGCTGATACTTACCTCCATTATGACCTGATCAAAGACTATATGTACTTTTGGTTAAAGGGAGTATGATAAAAAGGGACTTGGGGGCACTGGGAAAGAAAGATCATTGATATAGTATACATAGAAAGAAATGGAACTACCCACACTTCTTTTTTGCATGCAGAAAAAGTGACTCCCAGAATACTGAATTAAAAAGAAAACAAAACTTAGTTTTAATTTGGATCGCAGGGACAGTAACTATGTAAAACTCTAAGAAGAGCCAAGTGTTTGGGTATTTATTACACTATGCCACGTTGGGGGGATAACCTACAGTGTCCCGCAGGTGCTCACAGTGGAGTGCTGAGTATATGATGAAGATACAGCTGGGTGATTTGTGTCGTTGTTTAGAAAGTGCTCCAAGATAAGTATCTAGGCTTTAAAGTGTGTTTCTGTTGTGTCTGGATAGGAAACGCAGAAGACCTGCTATGAGTTGGGTTATTAAAGGATTATAGCATTTGAGAGCTGGAAAGAGCCTCTGAGAATTTTAAAGTCCAAATAAAGGAGGAAACAAAGCAAAGCGATTTACTTGCATATTCCACACTTCAACCCTTTCTTACTGATCATATAGTCTAACCATGTTTCATTGAAATACTTAAACGATAAACACTTGGAAATAGTACAGTTAATATTCAATTAAATTTTACCTAAAAAACAAGAATTTAATTTTAAAGTGGAGATTAAGCACGGAGGGCACAGGGCCGACAGCGGTCTCGTCCATGGGAGGTAAGTTGAACTTTGTTTGCTGTTTTAATTGTAGTTGGAGGCTTTGGGGTAGGGCGTGTGTACACTCTAATAGCGATACTGTTCTTCTTTGCCCTACTGTATTATATTTGGCCAGAATGACACAGAGTTGGTCCATGTAAATATCTGAATTTGTAGCCCTATTTTAAATATCAATTTTAGTTATAATGGAGGAACATGGAAAGTATTTTTAAATTTTATTTACTTTTTGAGAGTGGTCTGACTCTGCCACCAAGGCTGAGTGCAGTGGTGCCATCATGCCCCACTGTAGCCTTGAACTCCTGTGCTCCAGTGCACCTCCTCCCTTAGCCTTCTGAATAGCTGGGACTAGAGGTACAGGCTGTCAGGCTCAGCTAATTTTTAAAATTTTTTTTGTAGAGATAGGGTCTTGTTATGTTGCCCAAACTTGTCTTGAACTCCTGGCCTCAAGTGATCATCCCACATGGGTCTCCCACAGCCCTGGGGTTATGAGCTTGAGCCACGGCTTCTGCTCTTCTCTATTTTTTTAAGCAGCAGGGTCTCACTAGCATCCAGGCTGGAGTGCAGTGGTGCAAGCAGTACTCACTGCCATATTTTTTTAATACCCATATTTTTTAAGCTTCCACTGTCTTATTCTGAATTTCACTTTCAAAAATCAAGTTGCTAATCTCATGTACATTACAGATGCTCCTTGACTAACAATGGTGTTATATCCCAATAAACCCACTGTAAGTTGAAAGTGTGTTTTCAACCTAAAGTATTTTCAATGTATGATGGGTTTATGATGTAGTGATGGGTTAACACTGGAGATAACCCCACTGTTCAGTCTAGGAGCATAATGAGTGTGTGTAAAGTTGAAAAATCCTAAACTGGGGGAATCGTGTGTATTGTACTGCTGTTACCGCTGAATTTGTAGACTGTAAATCCCTAAGCAGTTAAGAATGTGCTGAGTAAAGTAAGGTGAGGACAAGAAGAGGCTTCCTCCTTTCAAGTCTGTGTTAAATGACATTCATTTTGCTAGCGGTATTGCACTGAGCAGGGTGGGTTTCACTTATGACTCATCAGGTGGCAGCTACGACTGGCCATCGCTGGCAGCTCTGTGGTCCATGTGAGCTGACATGAATAATTTTACAGTTTGCTAATATATTAAAAAGTAATCCAAACAAAAGAAACTGACTCATCGAACTCTCAAGGATATGCAAACACAACTCTAGCCAAATAACAATAACCCTTATACAGTGAATGAATAATTACATTTCTTCAAAAATTGACATCAGCAGAGCTTTAGATACACTGTCTTCAAACTGCTTTATAAATAACTACAGCACATGACTTTTTCTCCAAGAGGATTCACTGGTAATATTAGAAAATTTTAGAGTCCCTTCCAATCATAATTTGCTATATAGAACGAATTCCTTCTTCTTTAGGGAGAAAAGGCCACTGCCCTGTCGGCAGTCTGAATCCATAACAAGGGTAAGGGTCGTATTAATTAGTGGAATCACCGTCTCTAAAATACCTTCTCCCTGGACCTCCTCCAGCAGGGTTTATACTCCCGCCTTTGTATTATAATCTCTGTGCCTTGTAATTGTTAAGGCTTCTTTCACTTAGTAGAGGGAGGGTGGGGATCAGATCTTAATGTATTCATACTGCTTAGAACAGTGCCCTGGCTTAATAGAAAAACAATGAATGAAATTAATGTCTTCCCCCACCCCCCTTCACACACACATACACACTGCTCACTGTCAGTCATTTTTGCTGGACTGGTAGAGCTAATGGCTTGAAACCAATTAACTTGTGGGAGTTAAAAATTTCATAATTCCAATACAATCCCCAGTATGTTATCGCCCAAACTTAGCACCATCATTTTATGGGATAGCACTGTCTTATAGTGTTACCTTCTGCTCCTTGACCAAACCCTCTTCCATCAATTTATACGTTACTGTTTTATTCTAGCTCTGTGTGTGTGTGTGTGTGCACATGCATTTAAAATACCCTCCTTCCTACTAGAGGCCCTAGAAGCCACCCTCCCCTTCCCCCTTGATATCCAGCCTCATGGGCTTTACATGTAATGGAAACTTAACAATTCGCTCTGAGAAGTGGGAACCAAATAGAGAAACAAATAAAACTCTTCAAAACACACACTACCTTCCACTGCTCTTTTGAAGAATACTTTACAGCTTCCGCAAGTCAAGACTCCATAGTGACACCCAGAAGCTTCGTCAGAGCACACCAGGCAGAGTTTGGGAGGTGGTCCTGCTGCTGTGGATGAGCTCGATGGGGGAGAGCTTACATCTGGTCTCAGTCCAGGACTAAAGAAGGAGAAAAGCAATGTTAGGATTTACTGATCAGGACTATGGAAGGAACCTCAGCTGCTCACTCCACAGTCAGCCTGGTCACACTGAACTCTGGCTAAAATATCCTGTCCAAACACATTCAAATAATGTCATATTCTTCCTTTATACAACATCGACCAAAGTCATTTCTTTTGAAGTGTCCCCAGATAGCATGGGGAGGCTGTGGTTCACAGAGCAATTGTTGTTTTTATTGCACAGGCTTTCCTTTGTAACCCCTCATATTAGGGTGTCACTTATGTACAATAACATGGACTGTTTGCTAAGTGTATAATTCGCGAGCTTTATTAAATAGGTAGCTTATATCCAGCACCCCTGAAAGATGCCTCTTACTCATTTAATTGGTTAAGATATCAATTTTTTAAAATTTTAAGATCTTATACAGCACCTTTCCAAATCTAATCAAGTCTCATAACAATTATACCTCTGTCTTCTACTATAGAGCCACAATTGTTTTACAGTCTTAGAATTTGGTCTTATGTCTCTTATTCCCAATGTCATCCTGGCTGAAAACACAATTTCTTATGACTGAGAAAAGACTAATCCAGAAACACTACTTTCTGTAATTTTCCTGTCTGGCTTGTAGTAAAGACTGGACAGAATGTCCAGTGAAGCCCATTCTGCCCTCTCCACTCAATGGAAATACACCTTGAGGGCAAAGATGAAAAATGTGAATCTATTTCTCTGATTTTTTCATTCTGGAAACTTCTTACCACAAGAGTATACTAGACAGGAGTGTCTAGTGTTTACTAGTCTTTAAAAGATACATATTTGTTGTGAAAATTTTCAACTATCAGAAAAGCTGAAAGAATTGTACAATGGGCTCGGTGCTTGTAGCACAGTGGTTACAGTGCCAGCCACATACACCAAGGGTGGTAGGTTCGAACCCGGCCCAGGTCAGCTAAACAACTGCAACAAAAAAATAGCTGGGCATTGTGGTAGGTACCTGTAGTCCCAGCTACTTGGGAGGCCAAGGCAAGAGAATCGCTTAAGCCCAGGAGGGGGAAAAAAAATTGTACAATAGATATATACTTTTTACCTACATTCACCAATTCTTGACATTTTGCTACATTTGCTCATAAAAACGTATTTTAAAAACCAATAGAACAGTGATCCTTTTAGTACTGGAGGAAAAATTAAATTATCTCATTTCATATTGGATGATACTGTGGTTTCCAACACTGTACCTTCCTAAGGAAATTTCTTTTTTCCTTTTCTTTTTTTCCTAAGACAGAGTCTCATTATGCTGCCCTCGTTAGAGTGCCATAGCATCACAGCCCACAGCAACCTCAAACTCTTGGGCTTAAGCGATTCTCTTGCCTCAGCCTCCCAAGTAGCTGGGACCACA